GACAAGTTTAAACTTGTCAAGTTTAACAAAAACAACTGAAATAAGGTTGAATCGTTTCAAATGAAACGTCACGTTTAAAATAGCGGGATAAATATTTTAATACCTTTTATATCACAATACATATTTCTGTTTCATTCAGTTTTCTTTTTGTTATACTTAAAACACGGCACACGTTACGTTAATATAAGTAGAAAATAAGTTTAGTACGTTGTGCTATAGAACGAGAAATCATAAAACACTTTTGAAGAGAAAACTAAACTATGTTACTCACAAGTTTTTGGGCTAGAGGTGTCCTATCTCCATTTGGTAAATGTTCTTCCAGTGCCAGCACTATGCAGTTCGCAATGATGGTCAGAAGAACAGCATACTCGAAGGGAGTGATGGCGAGTAAAGGAAAACGATTTATTTCAACTGCAATCTACTGTTCATTCAACCACCGCAACTCATCAATGTCGTTATTTCGTCTTTGCTTAAAGATGTATAAATTCACATGCAATAGATGCAATTCTAGGGTGTCAGTGAACCTTTCTTAATAACAATATTGTGCACATGTTCATGATTGTTACTCATGCCGAGTTCGAGCTATTAACACTATTCACAGTACTCCTCATTTAAGTGGTAAAATACGTGGGTGTAATAACTTTTGTACTAATGATTCAAATACCCTTCGCATCTCCGATATTTATTTTACTAAGCATTAACTTGAATTCTTAACCGTTTCAATTTCTGTCATCTGTTGTTCGTTTCTTTTATGATTGTTTTCTTTTTACTATAGTTATAAGTAAGTACTTCTCGAAAACACTAGCACTATAATATGACTCACTCTCTTTATGAAAAGGCTGTGTTTGCTTGAAAATTACGCCACTATATAAAACTTGTACTCAAGAATTTAGTCAAAGAGACAAACCCGCCAATAAATGAAAATCGAGGAATAAAAATAAGATCGAATAGATGCAATAAAAACGATCTAAAACAAGCATATTAATTTCACAAGCTCGACCTCTAGAAGCAGTGAGTTATATTAAAAGTCTAAAGTTGGTTAGGAAATACTGTGTTCGTTGCAATTCTCCCATTTTTTTACATATTTAGATCATCCAGTGCCACGTGTAAATATATACAATTATAAATTGAAAAGATATATGGTGATCTCAAAATATTTTACTTTAGTTCAGTTGGATAAATTATTCAGTTATGGTTTAGTGTTTGCATCGAAGTGTTTTAGATATTTAACAATTTTGTTAAAAATTCTATATCTAGTAAGCATGTGTGTATATATGGCTTCAAGTAGGTGTATAGCGTGGGTGCTAGAGATTATTCTTTTAACGTTTTGTAGCGTTTTGGACATTTGTTTTATTCATGTAGGAAAAGAGAAGCAGCCATATTTAATGATCAGTATAATAGATTACTTTACGAGCTTGGAATGGGTTTCCTTTGTTACTGCCTTCTAGTGATTTGTTTGTTTGTTTCAGAATTTTTTCGAAAAGGTACAAACGTACACATATTCTATCTTCGCATAGCTGTTCCTAATTTTGAACTGATAGATTAGAAGAGAGGCAGCTAGTTAACAGCACCCATAGAAAATTCTTGGACTACTCTTACATGACTGACTAGGAGGATTTGACAGTCACTCTTATAGCGCACTTAATCGCCCAAAACGTACAACCGTTCCTAATTTTCAATAGATGGACTAGAAGGAAGGCAGCTAATCAACAGCACCCATAGATAATTCTTGGACTACTCTTATCTAATTGACTAGGAGGATTTGACAGTCACTCTTATAGTGCACCCACTGCCCCAAAATGCAGAGCGCGTTTTTTAAGCAACAGTAACAACAAGTGAATTACGAATATACTATGTCCAGGTATTAAGATTAATGTAAGTCAGAGGCCAGTTTCAATATTAAAACATTTTAAACTGAAATACTCCCTTTAAGATACAACTTTTAATTAATACTGGTCAAACCTCTAGTTTAAATCAATTCTGTGAAACAGTTTCGGACAGTTTCCTAGATGTAGAAAGTAATAACAAGCGTATTTGTGTTGATTAAAAACATTTAACGTAATGTATTGAGTGATAACTTTCAAACTGAGTACAATAACACCACGGCAAATTTATGAAACTGATCAGTGTCAGTCTTATTTTTTTAAAACAAACGTACCAATATTCTTAAGACATCGTAACCTTTAATATTTGAAATCATGACCACTTTCTTCTGACGTCTAAGACAATTTATATTAACTTAAACTAAGTGGAAACATTCTACTGACATATTGGACAGTTTAGATCATTTTGTAATTACGAAGTAAAAGCTACAGGATAGTGTAGCTGTTAACAATATAAAAAAAAGCCAAGAAAGGGGGTTTCATAACGTTATTTGTAATGCGTCTGTATCAGCTAGAGTAATAGGTGAAGTACTCTTAAAGACGAAGTGTAGTTTTTAATTACCCACAAGTAAACACTGTGCCACTCTTACTAAAACAAACCTCAGTCAAGTGGTCTATCTAAATGGACATTTTACAACTCACTGACAGAGTTTGGACTGGATACTTTAGTTTTATAACACTGGACTGGAGACTATATTTTTTATATATAACAGAAATTGTACTAGATACTTTAGTTTTTATACGACAGTTTGGACCGGTTACTTTAGTTTATATAACAGAGTTTGGACTGTTTACTTTGGTTCATATAGCACAGTTTGGACTGGTTACCTGAGTTTTTATCACACAGTTTAGACTGGCTACTTTAGTTTATATATCACAGTTTGCACTGGTTATTTTAGTTTTTATAACACAGTTTGGACTGCTTGCTTTAGTTTATATACAACAGTTTGGACTGGTTGCTTTAGTTTATATAACAAATTTTGGACTGGTCACTTTAGTTTATACAACACAGTTTGGACTGATTACTTTAGTGTGTATAACACAGTTTGGACTGGTTACTTTAGTTTATATAACACAGTTTGGACTGGTCACTTTAGTTTTTATAACACAGTTTGGACTGGTCAGTTTAGTTTATATACCACAGTTTCGACTGGTTACTTTAGTTTATATAACACAGTTTGTACTGGTCACTTTAGTTTATATAACACAGTTTCGACTGGTTACTTTGACGCATTTATAGAACGCATGCGTGTTTTTATCACTAACTTGCGATGCATCTACTGAAATATCGACGATGGTTTGAGCTTGAAGCAAACTTTTTTCGATTCTTCAACCCCTCGAGAAATCTTTCAGCGACATAGTCAATTCATCACTATGCATTCAAAAATATAAGTTACTAACACAAACAATTAACATACACATCACAGATGACTCTCAGTGTATCGGCGATGAAACTGAGGAATTATAACGTTAAAAGTTGGGTTTGGATTACCAGTGGTGGGCAGAGCAAAAAATGCTCATTGGGTAGTTTTGTGCTTAAAAACAAACAAACCACTATAGAAGAACAGGATAGATGAGTCTTTGGATTAATTATTGTTTAATTCTGAACAAAACTACTCTAACTCTTTCTAACTTAGAAGTGATAGATTAGAGGGAAGGCAGCTAGTGATCACTGTCGACCAAAACACTCTTTGGCAACTCTTTATGAACGAAAAGTGGCATTGACTTTCACATTGTAATGTTCCCATGGCTGAAAGATCGAGCATGTTCGGAGAAGGAATCCGAACCCATGACTCGCATATTGCAAGTCAAGCGGCTCAACCACCAGGGCACGTACTAATCAAACCTTACTGAGAAACGTAGTTATATTTCCTCGGCTTTACTCTCGTGTAAATAGCGTTTAATATTAACTCATAGATCATATATATTTTCATAATTACTTTCCGCATATGTTGAGAAACGTACAATGATTAGAATCTTTGAGTTTTAGCAGATTCAGTCATTTCAAACTTAATACTGCATTCACAAACAGTCCGAGTTGTGGTATGTTAGATATACTGAAACAATTAAATTGTAAAGAAAAATTACAAGTAACTGAATCGAGTAGAACTGTCTGCTCAAGTCCTTCCGAATACACAAATAAGGATTATTACCATTATTAGGATGGGTTTTAAATATTTCCACTACAGAAAAAAATTTCTGAAAATAGTGAACATTGTCCACAATATAGTTTATATGGGGGGGGGGGGGCGACTACACACTTGTTTGATTAAAAACTTAGTTTAATTTCTAGCGTCAAAGGTAAAATTGAATACGTGTCGTAGACGCCTAAAGCTCTCCCTGATTGGTCGTACCCTCTGCTGTGTACTGCAGTTTGCTCGTCAGCACAGCTTGGGTCAGCAAACCAAAGAAATACAGCTAGGCCTGTTATAATGGTGAAGTGTATATAATATTTATAGGGTAACGACTTGTGACTAAATTTAGGTTATTTCTTTTGTGATTTAAAAGGACATAAAAAACCCATAGATAATTAAGTTGGTTTCAATTATTGTATAAATACCAAATGTATAGTAACTTTTGCTTCACCCTGTATCTGTACATTTATCAAAAATATAATAATGAATAGGAGATGTGGAAGACGTTGTTATTATTTGTTAGGAACTGTCGATAGTTTGGTTTTACTTTCGATAGTAAATTATATCTAACATATAAATCATTAAAGGCGCTTGCAAGTGTTGAATGAATCGTGACTGCAACAGAAAAGTTACAGCAGAGAAAGGAGTAATGATAATTTCCTATCAATATTTCAAAAAATTAGATTGAGAAATTAAAGTCATTTAAGCGTCTTATAACCAGTAAGATCCTTTGTGGATTTTAGGAAAAGAAGAAGGATGTGAGCCTCAAGTAAGAAACAGAGATTAATTCTGGACTTAACATTAACTTAATGATGCCTTATAAGAATGTGTGCTAAACGGCCACGTCGGAGTTCAGATTCGGCTATTTCTAATTTGAACAACTGACCATAAAGAGGCCAGCCAGTTAGAAGTACTCGCAGCCTTCAAGATTTTGACCAGATCTTTGATCTGAATAACGGGATTGACTATCACTTTTATAACAGGCCCACAGCTGAAAGTCCCGAGCCTACTCATTGATATCCCATTTCAAATCTTGAATCCCTCAATCCACGGCTCGGAACATTAACCTCTACAACACGTCCTGCCCAACGATATTCTTATAAAATAAACAGTCAAATTTAGCGGGCTACAATTTATAAAATATTTTGTTGGCTTTTTGCCAAATTTTTTTTGTATACGACCTCTTAAACGGTAACCAGAGAAATGTCCAGTCTCAGTGACATCACCAAACAGCCGAACGGAAAACACAGTGAATCGTTTTTTAAATGTATTATGGTAATTATGTTTGTTTCATAAGAATTAATAGTACAGCAAAATGACAGATAGATAGTATAAATTATCTCTGTATCATGGAAAGTG